CCCAGGGTTTATGAGAGTTTCACCCTCATTTCCTGGGTCGCCTGTTGACTCAGGGTCCAGATAGGAATTTCTGGCCTAAGGACTGTGTGTGGCCTGCTGAGGTTCTAGAATGATCTGGCCCTTCTGCCATATGGCCCAATAATGGCTCTGTTCTGGATAATGGCATTTAGACACCCCCCCAGACAGAACCATGGTTGACAAATGGCATTTTTCCATTTGTGGATGGAGTTCCACAGTCAAATTTCAAACTCCTGAAATTTAACTGGGTGTTTCCATGAATGAATGATCCGTTATTATTTGTAATCCCAACGATGATTGTAAACGTTCTGTGTTTACATGTATGTTCAGTTGTCATTTTGAGCATGTTGGCAGGGCTCCATCTAACCCCATGTTCCCTACACAACTCTGCAGGTTGTTAGCTCTGAGGCACTGCTGAGTGACACGATCACATTCAGTACCTACAGGAGAATTCAGTAAAGCTTGTCTCTGGAGGTACCAATTCTCCATGACCAAAAAGCTTGCCTGGGGATTTGGGCTTATCCCCAAAAGCAGTGGTGAGAAGGCCTCTGTGGCGACGTCATGCTAATCCTCACCCAACTGAGGACCTGAGCCGGGGCATGGTTGTGTGGGGGCAGCTTGCAAAGCTTCCGTGCCGTTATCCTCATCCTCTCCACCATTACCATGTCTCTGTGTGTCCTGTCCTTGGGAACAGTTTTAAATGTTTTTTTTATATTAAAAATAATCGCAAATGACCCTCCTTGGGATTTGTATGCTCTCACAAGGAGAATGTATGTGAGGCCAAAATGGTTTCCTACAGATGCAAATGGTAGTGGAAATCACGTAGACCTGTTTGAGGCGGGCTCCTCAGATGACTATTGTGTAACGTACCGACGGACCCTTGCTGTTGACTGTCACCCCTAGTGCTCTCTCTCCACCTTAGCTCCCCAAAATTGGTGCCTGGGGCTCCGGAGAGAAAATTATAGTCTAGGAATGGTAAATCACAGTGAAAGAAAGTCAAGTTGATGCTGTTGTCTGCGTTTTATTTGACAGTTTGATTTGACAGTTTGAGAGACACGTCAGAATTTCACTCTTTACCCAGTTGAGACTATGGGGAAGCCTGAAGCAGAATTCTGGTATTCAACACGCTTTGCTTAATCGGAGCAGCTTCTAATTCTCAGCCCCTCTTAAATATGCATGCTTGTTTCAGACTTCTGACACCAGCATCCAGCTCTTAGCTTCTTGTCGATGTGGGTCGCCTGTACCTACTGACATCCTTTCTGACCAGCCAAGCACACCCTTGGAAAGCTTCAAACGTTTCTCAGCTTGCCTTTTCCTTCGCAGATCAAAAGCTGGCAGATCCAAAGCTGGGCAGAGTATAGGAGGAAGCCTCCAGCAGTTGTGATAAATGCTATCTCTCACTCAGGTGAAAAGGCACCTTTTTGTGAGTGACAGCATAAGATGGGTACCTTTGTGAAGAAAGGCTTTGTTTCTCTTGCTCCCACTACATTTGCAAAGATGCGTTTTTATCAGTAAGACCATGTAGCGTCAGCTAGCCTTTGGGATAAGAGAAGAGAATTATATTGGGTGAGATTTTGGTTTAGGACAGGCCTGTCGTTTTGGATTGCACTTGCGTTTTCTCTGACGCGCACTTAGCCTACTGAAGAAAGGGCAGACCGCCTTTACAGAGCGGGTTTATTGTCTATCCCAGCGGGCTCATTCCAGCCTCGGGGACTAGAAGGCGCCATCTTGTGGCCGAAAAGGGAATGACAGGAAACCTGGTTCTCGTGTCTTGACGTCAGAGGCCATGAATTCAAAATGTCTTGCTTTCCCCGCGTAGAGGGGATTATTCTGCTTTGGGGGTGGGGTAGCGGGGGAGGTGGGGGTGGTGATATTTGGGCATGATTTGAGCTTTAATGTAAGAGAGACAGAACTGTTTCAATCGTGTTGCTTCTGTTTAAAGTAAGTCTAGTTTCTGTCCCTGCTTCTCTCTTGCCTTCTGCCTCTCCCGCCGCCTGCATTGCTTGCCTCTGACTAGGTCCAAGGCAATGGTATGTACTAACTGTTCTGCGATGCTCTGTCGCGCAGCACACATACATGTCCTCCCGACAGGAAGAGAAAAGGAGAAATGACCGGGGAGTTGCTGACTGCTTCCGCCCAGGAGAAATTTTATGGTAGAAAAAGTGAAGGCTGCCTCTCCCCGTTTTGGGGGTTCTTACAGAGGGGTGGCTGGGCCTCCTCTCACATGCTGAGCTTGGAAGCGTGTTAAAGAGCGAGGCCGCGTTTCTGATTTGGCTGTTTCACGGTTACCTCTGCTCCAGGTCATTGAAATTGCACTTGGGAACTACCAAAACGTTGAGCTTAAGCTTGGGAGGGCCTGTGGAAAACATCCATTTGACCGTTGACACCAAGTGCCCTGAAGGCAGCCACACAAATCTGTTTTAGTCCAAGACCCTGTCCTTTATTCATAGTTTCTCAAGAATCGGTGGTCCATTTTCTCCCCCCCAGGGTAGTTAGGTTACAGAATGCCTTTCAGCTGAAGGTGCCTGAGAGCTGAAAGCTCCCCCATGTTTGTAAAACCCACTCAGATGGCAGCTGGCTGGGTCTCCCTGGACAAGCAAGAAAGACTCAGAGGACAAAAGTGGACTAGTCTAACCTCCCAGTCTCAGGTCAGAAAGCAAGGCAGTTTCCTCACATGTGTGGCTATTTCTTGCGCTCCCTGAGGAACTGAGCAGATCTAAAAGTTTGGAGGTGTGATGAGATAAAGAAGAGCAGGTGAGGGGATTGTGAAGGACCTGAAAATGGGTAATAATGTACCATCGGGTCCCCAGGGCTTTTAGAGGTTATCAGCCACATGGGTTGTCAGGGGATTACATGTTTATATGATCTATGAGAAACTTTTCCATCTGTGATGGAGAACTTTCTTTAGAAAAGCTAACCATCAAAGCCCTAGCATTCTCACAGGGTTTGCTTTATTTTCCCAGGATTCTCCTGGGCTCAAGGTCTGAGAATAGGAAGAATTAGCCAGAACTCAGGTGCAGCTCAGAGCTAGGAAAGGTTCGCCCCAGGCTGCCATCATCCAGGGCCCGCTGACCCTGAGCCGTGGGGGCAGAGGCCAGGTATATAGCCTGCTGCCTGGGGTGGGTGCTCTTAGGTTTCCGTGAGAAGAGGGGCTTCAGGTTATTTCTCCTCTTCTGTTTCTGCGTCCCGTGCATGCTGTGTGTTGCACTCTGTCGTGGTGGCTGTGCCCTGGGCCCTGGCCAGGCTGATGTGTTGTCTCCGCTGGTTTCTCCTCAGAACACGGCTCTAGATAAGGAGGGACAGATCTTCTGCAGCAAACACTGTCAGGACAGCGGCCGACCCGGGACGGAGCCCACTTCTCCAGTTCCTCCCTCCGCCGAGGAGACCCCTGTGTCCGGGGTGGCAGCCGTGGCCCCTGCCCCTCCGGAAACTCCCACACCCCCCTGCCCTTCTGCTGCCACGGGCTGTGAGCGGTCAGGGACCTGGCGCCGTCACCGTGACTGACCGTGGCAGGCGGGCCTGAGCCATGCCGCCCTCTCACGGCCGAGCCTTCCTCTGCTGACTGCTGGTGTGTCAGGTTGCTGGCATCTCCGAGGCTGCCTGGAGCCCAGGGCCCCGGCCTTGGCCTCGGGTCACACTCTGGGCTCTGCCCTCCAGTTCCTGGAGGTGTCATATGCAGTGGCAGCTTCGGTGACACACTCAGAGTGGCTTGTTTTAAATTGTCTGAGTTTCGGTTCAGTGGACATTTTACCGCGTCACCAGGAGAATGTGTCACTTTATTCCAGCATTTAGCGCATTTTTTTTATAGAAACACTTTGGATGAGCCAAGACCTCCCTCTCCTATTTAAGTAAACTCAGAGTGCCCCTTTTTTCTTACAAAGAACTTATGGTGGGGGTCCTGTGAGAGGTGACACGACGCCTTCCTCTGTTGATGGGGGTTGGAGGACTGGCTTTCCAGTGGAAGACGACACGAGCGCCTTAGAGGACAGTTGGCCACCAGACACTAACCCCCGACCTCCAGACGCGCTCTCAGGTGCCCAGAGGAGCAGCCGCCATGCAGCTTGGGGTGCTGGGCTTGCTTACAACGACACTGGGTATTTATTTGTACGCAGACCACAGGGGAAGGTCACTGTCATCCCTGTAGACATCGTTCACCCCAACTCTTCCCACATATGAATTAAAAAATGCTAATGAAGTTGTCCTTTGGGCTTTTTAATGGAAGGCCTGGCGCGTGTGGCATCACCGTGGAGGCGGTTTCTTCTCGGCACGCCAGCCGCTCCGGAGCAGGATAAACTAGGAGTGGCCACCGGTCTCGGGTCATCATCTCCTTTTCACCTGGAGCAGGCGGAAGGGGCAGCTGCAGAGACGCCAAGGCACAGGCAGGACTGGGGCGAAGGTGCCTCGCAGACACCCCACTACTGACCTTCTGGAAGGCTGCTGGCAGCTTTCCACCACCCTGCTCTTTTTAATAACTGTACATAATCAGTGTGTTTGTTTCACCTGCTCATCTTCTAAACTGGTGGGCCCCGTAGTGCATTTTCACTGTTAGATTTTTGCCCCCTACACGTGTACCCAACCTGCAATAAACTCTTCCTTATTGAGAAAAAGTAATCGGGGTGGGCAGAGGTTTCTGTGTTGTTGTTTTGCAAAGGATGTGTGATCAAAGGCCCAGGTTCCGGCAGGTGCCCGTGTGTTTCCGGGACGTGTCAGGTCCGTGGGGGAAGCGAGTGATGCGTGAGAATAACACATGGAGATGTGTCTTGGTTGAAGTTTATTTGATTACAGGTGCAGAAGCTCCTGTAGCAAAAGCACAAGAATAAAGGGACCATTGGCACAGCAGAGGGAGCCTACGGAGCCGACGTCAGGAAGGTGAGGGTTTACAGGCCACGGGGAGTCGGGGCAGCTCTTCCCGTCCGTCTGGGTCTTGTCTCTCTCTCTGTCCATCTCTGTTTTTCTCTGAGATTGTGCCGCCTCCTGTCTCTGCTTCTTTCAGTGCATTTCGGCTCATTTTCTGTTCCCTCGTAATGTCTGCTTGCCTGTGACCCTGGCCACAAGTTCTGCATCTATCCCCAACTTCTCAAGGTTGTACAACTCCAGGGCTTGAAACCGTCTACTTCGGCTCTGGATCTCTTAGTTCAGATCGCTATATGAGGTGATTATGCAATGATTTCTCTCTGGGCTGGCACTGCCCTAGCATCCAGAGGCTGGTTACAAAACGTAGATGGGCTGCTTGAGCCCACAGCTACAGCAGGAGGAGGGCAGTTTCAAAAAAAAAAAACTGTGATGGACAGGTCTAGAAAGTTCTCTTATCTCTCTCCTCACTGACTTGTTAAAGAGCCAACATTTTCGTAGCTTCCAATGGAAATGTTTTTGTTAATGGAACGGGAGAGGTACTGTAAAGGCAGGGGCTCACAAATGAAAACAGTGATGGAGCAAGGCCTCTGGCACTGGTGAGCGCCTGAAACCTGACCCCCTTCCCCTAAACTGTGAGGTTCAAAGACATTTGCTAGAGACTTAACAAAACATGAGTGCAGTGACTGTCGCTGGTGACAGGGTGAAGGAGCGCCTCCTGTCCAGCTCATGCTGCCACCCTCGGGGCCACGCCGCGATGGCCTGGGGACAGGGTGGGGGGTGGAGGTGGCCGAGAGAAGAGAAGTAGCATGAACTAGGTCTGGCGGCAGGCCTCGCGGCTCTTTTGTCATTATCTTCATCCCACAAACACCAAGAGCAAGGTGTTAGGTGTGATGAGAGCAAACCAAGAAGTTAGGTGACATAACCCAGGTCGTAGAGTTGGCAGGAGACAGAGCCACAATGCAGTTTTAGGTTCTGCTAATGCCAGAGCCTGTGTTTTTTGGAGTTCCCTATCACCCAGGGGCAAATCAAGGCCTGGAAGTGAGTGGCCATCGGAATAACGATCCTAAATGTTGGGTTGTCGGAAAAGTCATGAGGCATTTTTACAATGAAAAACAAAAAAATACGTCATGACTTTTCCGACAACCCAATAAAAGTTCTGACACAAGCACACCGTCCATTCACCCATGCACTTTGCAAACATTTATTGAGCTCTTATTCTGTTCTCAGAATGTAAATACAGGTGCTTAATGGCTGGGTTCCTCTGCTCCTGCCCAGTGAGAATGGCATGTGCTTATTTTATGTTCATTCCTTTATTTGAGCAGGTGATCAACGTCTAAAGAAACTGACCTTTGAATAGGGTTAGTGAAAGGGAGTGGTGCCCTGCCAAAGCCATCGGGAGGTGCCTGCTGGGCTCTGCAGTTGGGCCAATTCAGTGAGTGTGTGTCTCCCTTTCTTCATAAAGGTTGCGGTGATATGGAAATATATGGATTGAAAGCATTTGGCAAAACTCTCCCAGACATTTTTTAATGGATAAGATTGTAAAATGTGAATGAGGAGATAATGAGGACAATTGAGAACAGATTAGCCATATTGAAAGACTGCTGATTAATGATGTTGTCTTAAGAGATTTCGAGAACAGTCTGCCATCTCATAGAAATATAATGTAACATTTTTGGGTAACACATTAAAAAAAAAAGAGGAACAGGTGAAATTAACGGTATATTTTATTTAACCCAGTATATCTAAATATATCCAAAGTAGTATTTCAACATGTAATCAATATAAAAAAACCAGTGGGGTATTTTATATTTTTCTTGTCCTAATTCTTTGAAATCAGGTATGTGTTGACACTTACGGTACATTTCAAGCCCTTAATAGCCACATGTGGCCACACCCGCCACACTGGGCAGCCCAGTGGAGGGGCCACAGCTCTTGGTCTTTGTTTTATTGTTGTTTTATTTCGGGCCTATGATGTGAATGGTGATGTGGAAAGAAGGCTGCTTCATTGCTTTACATGGGATGGATGGATTTAGCGTGATCTCAGCCGGTGTTAGAACACTAATTCAAGCATGTGGTATGAAATCGAAGTGTGAAGCCCTGTGGGTCTATTACAGATGTGCCGGAGGCATTGGCGGGCACTGCTTTGCATGAAAGGTCTGGGAGTGGAGAATTTCAGCCATCACTTGTTTCATTAGGTGCCAATAGAGCTGCTTACACGTCAGTATAATTACACATCTTCCACTGCGTCATGAGACGTATGTGCAGACTGTGGGCAGTTTTAGTCACGCCTTCCTGGGTATGGAGTTGCCTGGGGCCCTCGAGGTTGGGGTGCTGGTAAGAGTGGGAGGGGTTTCATGCCCTGGAAACCCAGGACTGGTGGGAAAAACTGTAGGTATTAGTGGGGAAAACGAGGGGCTCGCCTGCCAGATGTCTTGGTTCTGCAGCAGGGGGCGGGCTTATCTCAGGGGCTTTGGATGGCGGCCCGGGGTCCGTCGTCGGAAGGAGGCACGAAGGATGAGGAGTGAGAGCCGAGCTAAGGTAAGACTCTAATCCCCGAGCAGTGTAGTGACAGAATTAGCTGCTTTCTAAAGAGGTGATCATCTAGTTCTTGGAAATGCCTAGATGCTAAATAGTAACCACGAGTTTTCAGTTTACAGTCTTGCATCTGCTCTCACTCGAGCCACACCACAGCCCTGAAGCAGAGATGCTAATATCCCCACGTAAATGTGGAAACTCAGAGGGGTCAAATGCTCATCTGGACTTGCCAGAGCTAGGACTGGCCTCTCCCAGCTACCGGGGCGCCTGTCCTTATAACGGGGCTGCCCCTCCAGGTGGTCAGAGATGCTTTAGAGGGGACGTCTGTGCCCTAAAGCACAGTTGGATGGGGGTGGGGAGACACCTGGCAAAATGGTAGAAAGTCAATGCTAAGGTTATCGGAGCAGGGGGCGTGTGAGTTTTGTTAGAGGAAGAGAAATTCTGTGGAGGGAGGCTGATGTGTGCAACTCTGGTTGGTCTTGGACAGTGGGTGTTCAGGGGCCATTTGATGATAAAAGCTGCAGCCTTGAACTCACAGGCAGTTCACTGTGGGGAGGAGTTGCCGCCATTGAATGGCTGAGGGGAAGAAAGGGTCTATTTGGTACCGTGATAGTCATTTGCCCTGTCATACCCCTTCCCAAACATCGGCCCTTTCATTGGGGGTGGAGCTGGGCACCTCGGGCTCCCAGTGTGGTCAGGATGGTTTCAGCCTGCTGGGCCGAGGCGGGAGGGTCAGGCACCTGTCTGTGCTGAGGCTGAAGTTAGGTCTGGAGAATGTCTTTCCAATTAGCCAAGTCCAAAGCTACAAAGCAGCCAGCTGCTTCCTGCCAGGTCTGAGGAAATAACAAGCCTGCCCAGCAACCCTCAAATCTTGGTTTTGGCAAGGAAAAATATTCCCGAACTTCAGACAGAAAACGAATTCCCGGTTCTGGCATCTGACTGCTGAGGTCTCAGAATTCACGGGCACATTGGTAGACTGCCTTCTTCCCTTGCAGGAGCAGCCTGTCTCAGGAAGAGAGCTTGCCTGGAGGCCAAACCACCCTGACTTTCCTTAGAGAGAAATATGTGATGGCCCTTGGTGGGAGCAACCTGCATTTCCGGCTCACAGCAGTGAGGGCTGGCAGGGGCAGGTCTGTGTCATTCATAGTAGCCTTGAGGTTTTTAAATAGTGAGCTATGACTTTAGGGGACCCCAAAAAATGCATCAGGGACTCCACCTTTCAAATCTGTTGTCTAAAAAAAAATCCGAAAGGTCTGTTGCCTACTCATCTGAAAGGAAATAGAAGAGGATTAAATCTTTTAATTTTGTTATTGTATTGATTTGATATTTATGCTACAAAACAGGGCAGTAGCTAGGCTACTTTCCTTCCTCTAATGGAGGAGGGGGGACAGGAATGGCCAAGGAGAAGCACTGGCGTATTTGCTGATACACACGGCTTATGCAGATTTTGAGATTTAAGTCCTGTCCGCCTCCTTTCTGTGTGTGTGGACATGCTTTGGCCTCATGTGATGTCATGTGATGAAGGGAGGCTACGGGCCTGGTTGCTAGTCTCTGATCTAGAACACACACACGGAAGTGGCAAAGCTCCACCAAGTTCAGTGGTGGCATCCTTCCAACTGTTTAAGGACACTTCTGCTTCTTGAGGCAGAGGGAACTGTGTCATCAGTCTGCTCTGTTCTTGAGCAGTGATGGAGTGGGGCAGGACTGGCACAGAAGGACGGACCAACCCAGGTCCACAATTGGCATGGCCAGGAGCTCTTGAAATCCTATCCAGTAAAATGTATTGAGGATACCTAGTGAAAATCTCTCCCCTCAGACGCCTCTCTCTCAAGGTCTAACTGTTGTCTGCTGCTTTAACTCAACTCTATTTGCTGAAAAGGGTGCCAAGTGGATGTGCCGTCTGGCTGCAGCTATCTCCTGTGAACTTGGCCCGCACGACCTCTGCCATCACCCTGGCCTTCTGACAGCGAGGTGGAAGGACAGATGGCACCAGGTATGTGTGGGCCGGCGCCTGGGCCTTTGGCTCTGCTCTCGGAGCCCCAGGGTGTAAGTTATTGACCTCATGTTCTACGCACAGCTCTTGCGGTTCCTATGCAAGATACTTTGAATGTTCTTATCCTGTATGCTGAGAAGTGGAAGTGAAGTGTCATGTGATTTCAAGGGGCAGACTTGGGCATTTTCACAGAGTTAATTTATGAGAACATTTATTTATGGAGGTTTGCTGTACTTTGGGACTAAGATGCTCATCAAAGAGAAGTACCCACCAGTTTGTATCAGTGTGTGTGTCAGGTTTTCATCTTCTCTGTTCTCCAAGCCCCCATGCTTTCCTCCAGAGATCGGGTGGTATTTCTTAAATTATAGAGGTGACTGGTGATATCTCAGAAAGAGTCAGGAAAATCTCAATTTCTCAAGGCAATGCATTTGAAAGCCAGCCGTAAATCACTGTGCTTGACTGAACACACCGCACTTTCCACGACATCCACGCGCCGTCTGTGCCCCCGCGTTTCCCATCTGTTGTCATTCATTTGGTTTCATCCCAAACCATGTCAACTTTGACTTGTTTTCCTAGTCGGTTTACACTTATTTAAAGTAATGTTTTATTTTTATAAGGAGTGAAAATTGGATAAATGGATTTTGAATAGACTCTAACAAATACTGTACAAAATAGATTTCTATCATTAAGAAGCTCTTGTGTTGATGGCAGCTCCAATTGTTAGCTGAAAATTCAGTTAATTTTCCATAGTTCTAAGTTTTACAAACAAAGGCAGTACAGGCACAGATTTTCTTCTTCGGCTTCAAGAGGAGGTGGCTTTATTAATTTTCCTAGAGGATTGTTAAAATGGGATAGTTGCAATATCATATGCCCCACATATGACTGAGGTATTCCTGATTTTCTTCTACCATTTTCCCTGAAGTTTCCAAAGTACGAGATTACAGGTTAACACCAGTGAGGGTGTTTAACTGAGTTACCAGTAACATGGGTATTTCTTTGATTCTAAGATGTACTTTCCGTCTCCCACATTTCACCATCTATCTATCGTTCTCTTTAATGGTTTATAAAGCGATGGTGGATCCTAAATGAAAGAGTGTATAAAGTTCCTTGTTTGGTCATTTGTTAAACACAGGGTTTAGTGTTCTCATTTTCGTCCGTCTCAGTAAGAGGGCGCCACCTGCCCAGAGAAGGCCTGTGTTGCGGTTTTCATTCAACAGAGTGTCTCTCTTATTGGTTGGTGTTCAAAATCTATGAACAAGTTAGGCTTTTTATTTTATCAGTGTTGTACAATTAGAAGTGAAAAGATATTTCTAACAATTACTAATGTCATTTAATTTTTCTTTAAAACTGAGTTGTTCCATTCCAAGAGCTGAATGTGTAGAAAAGCAGCACGGGACCCCTTTAGGTAAGTTGCAAGAGAAAACAGAGATGGAAGTCAAAGTGCACAACTTACAAAGGATTTATTTGTGCATTACAGACCTTTTCTCAAATATTTTTTCACAGAATTCCACACAGCAGTCTACTAGAAAAGTAGAATTATACAACACCAAAATAACATTGTTTCTTAGTACAAATTGCTAATCAAAAGGAGGGTGAAGATAGTTGAATAACAAATAGAAGGGAAAAGGGGTGTTGCCTAACACAGCACCTGGGAGCCTCCGTGCTCAGACCTGGGTGGGGGAGGGGAGCACGAGGCAGACTCTGCCTCGTATGGGGGGCAAGTCAAACCTCAGGGGTGAGCTTTGGTACTTGCGACTTTAAAAGAAAAATGCTGTGAGACCAAGAACATTCCAATCATTTCATTTTGGTGTGCTATGAAGACGACAGATCAGGAAAACATTTTAAATATTTCACACTTGCTATAACATTAGATCCTTACGTTAACCACACAATAAAATAGCCTCCCCCAAACCATAATTTTCTAGGTCTAAAACATGCTTGAAGAAGACTATTGATAGAAACAATTCATTGAGATGTCTTAAATTACATTTACCATAATTTAAACATTACTATTTAAATCCCCCAAATTTCCGCGCTTAAGCACAATTGTTTGAAAAAATACAGGACCCAAAGTACAGCATAAAATTCCCCTATCCCAGTATTATAACCCATTTTCCCTATTGTTAAAATCATATATTTCTCAAGATTACAGATAAATGGGAATTGTTTTTTCATAATATAGCTAGAATAAATGGGTTTACTCACTCCACTGTATCTTTCCATAATTGGTGAAAATAGACTTCTCATTATGACTAAAAATATAGATTTTTTTTTAAACTACAGAACCCAGCAGCCAGTTTTCTGCTTTGCTATACCATCCCCCCACCCACCCAAAAAGTCAAGCAAAGTCTACAAAAATAGCAATTAACTTTAAAAAATATTTTGCTTCTTAAGCAAATTTAAGTTACATTCAGATGTGATAACTATTTCTAAGAGAAAGATGCTCGGGGTGCTGCCCGCCCCGCGGGGGGCAAGGCTGACGTGCAGCTGTCTCCATCAGTAGCGGGTTTGGTATTCGTGATGCCACCTGTTAAAGTCATTGTAGAAGAGAACGATGCTTCCTGAGGCCATGCCAGAAATGATGCACCTAGGAGAAGGACAGAGAGCGGGGGTTCGCAAACCTGCTTATGTCCTGGGGATCTGTTCTAAAGAAAGAACGGCCCTCCCCAAACCTACAAGGTAAATAGAAAAAATGGCCGCCAGCACTACAATGTGTGAAAACGAGGGCACATTTTTTTGATGACTAAATGCAGCCCTTAGAGTGCCGCCTCTGACACTCTACGAGGATCCCAAGCCACCGCTTGCCTTTTAATGGAAAATCTAGCCAGTACCTGTAGGGTGAGCTAAAACCGGAGCAGGCTGGATGATTTCTAACGGGCCTGGGCTGGCAAGCCCTCTCTTTTCTGTTAGGTATCAGAATCAGAAGAAAGGATCACAAGCTCACAGCAGGTGCTGGTGGCGGAAGCAGCAAGCCATCAGTGACAGAGTTCTGACAGGTAGATAACTAAGCGGCTGCTGAAGCCATCACTCCAGAGGGGAGCTGCTCTCCGCACAGCCTGATGTCTCAGACCTTTCTCTGTATGGTTTGGCTAAGACCAGGCCTTAGAAGTCATATTCAATATCCTTTCCACAACCTCAGATCAAAATTAGGAACTAAAATGTGTCACTCCACAAAAATAACCAAAGACAAAAGAAGGCAGAAATAAAGGACAAAGAAGCTCTAAGAGAAAACAAATACTAGTAAAATGGCAAAGTAAGTCTCCTTATCAGTAATTACTTAAAGAGACTAAATGCTCCAATCAAAAGGCAGAAACTGGTAGAATGGATAAAAAAACATGATTAAATATATGCCGTCTACAAGAGACTCAAGTTAGATCTACAGACAAAGAGGTTGAGAGTGAAAGGATGGAAAAAGATATTCCATGCAAATAGTAATGAAAGAGCTGGCTGGCTATACTAATATTAGACAATATAGGCTTTAAGTCAAAACCTGTTATGAGAGACAAGGACACTATATAAATATAAAAAAGTTCATCAAGAAGATAATGAATTACAAACATATGCACTAAACATAATGGTGACGGTTGTATAACAATGTGAATGTACTTAATGCCCCTGAATTGTATACCAAAACAAGAGCTTAACTGGTAAATTTTTTCGTTACCACAAAAAAAAAAAAGAAAAAAAAAAGGAACTAAAATGAGTGACTGTATATTAAGAGGAAATAAGATACCAGATAAAGATTATCACCCCCAAATTTACTACTTAGGAGGTTGTTTTAGGAAAGACAGAAAATCTCTCAATGGAGTCCTCATAGACAGAGATAGGGACATTTTACATTAAACATGTTTATGGTACTTTAAGAAATGTCATATAAAGAGCTTAGCAACACCATAACTGGAGCCTGTGTCACTTAGGTCTGGTCTAATCCCGGAGACTTCCGCCTTTGTCTGCAGTGGCAATGCCATCAAAGAACCCCCACTTTTAAAAAGTATCTTGGAAACCCCAATATTCGTTGGCTTTTCGCACTGCACAGGTGCCCCCTACAGCCCAGCTCACTGACGTACATCCCGTCCTGTTTTACCACCGCCCGTAGCACCAGGACGCCGTGTTACCTCTGGTCGTGAGACAGGGCCATGGCCCGGATGCCGGCGTCGCAGCCCGGGTAGGCGAACAGCTGCCTGAGGTCGCACACCTGCCAGATCATCACCACGCCGTTATCACCGCCTGTGAGCAGGTACTGCCCGTCCCGGCTCAGCTGGATGGCCTGTGAGACAGAGCAGCGTTCAGGAGAGAGGAGGCAGGAGCGGAACCTGGGCTCTGGGCCGTGTCTGCGCGATGGCCGCTACTGCAGGGCAGGGGGAGGCGGCTGTGCGCATGGGCTCCTGAGAAACTTGTAGAAATCAGGAGTCGTACAAGACTTCTGCCGTGTTTCCAAGTCAAACGGACAGAGGTAGGCTATGCTTGAGTTTTTCTGCTTTTTTAATTCTCTCTTTTAAAGGAGGAGGTGGCAAACTCTTCCAGCTCTACAAATGCTGTTTAACTGGTGCGTGTGGTGGACTGGGACTGGCACTCCTGCAGTTGTACTGGGGACGGGCTAAGCCCTTGGGGCAGAGTGCTAGCTGACTTCATGTCCCCATAAAGCACTGCTGCATTTGGGCTGTGGCCCCTGGGAGAAGACCGACAGCGCGGGCATCTTTACGAGGCCTGTGGGATTTTACAGCAGTGGGGAAAGCAACTTGGTGGAGAACCCCAACTTCTAGGGGAATTAAACCCCAGGTTAAGCATTTTCTTCTTGCCCCACAACTGATTGGTGCCTGCCAGTGCTGAACAGGAAGTGCAGACATGGAATTTGCTTTTCAGTCTTGTAAAATGGGCCAAATGCAGGCCACCACCTGTTTTTATATGACTTTCTACATTTCTAAAGGTTGAAAAAAGTCAGAATATTTCATGACATGTTAAAATTACATGAATTCCAAATTTCGGTGCCTATACACAAGGGTTACTGGGACACAGCCACACCCATTCATTTATGGCGACTTTCACATGGAATTGCAACAGAACACAGGGCCTTCAAAGCCTAAAATATGTACTGCTGTCCCTTTACAGCAAAAGCGTGTCAGCTCCTGATAGAAAAGGTAACTTCCTACTGAGCTATTCCTATTGCCCCTCCTCCTCCTTGTCGCCCCTTCCCTCCAAACCTTCTTTTCCTAGTTTATTAAGATACACCTTTCCTTTCTTTAGCCAGGCGGCACTGGAATTCTAAAAGTTACTGCACACGCCTGTAATCTTGTGTCCACATGGACACAGTGTGGGAATGCAGATTGTGCTAGCAAGCCAGAGACAATAAATCTAACTTCTGAAAACTGATTTCACGCTGATTTACACTCAGAGTTTTAGTACAGTTGCCTTAAGCCTAATCTACCCTTTGATAATTTTTTTTAAATCATAGAAAAGTAAGGACTGCCTCATAGCCATTCAATTCACATTTATATAAATGCCAACTTTTAGCAGTGTCTTAAATATAGCTTACTTTCAAGAACATAAAAAGACATCTAAGGAATAAAACCCATGTGTGGAAGATAGTGACACAGAAGAAGTATTCTCTAAATCTTAATTAAATACAAACAGTAAGATTTTTTTCAAAGTAAGAATCAATATCCTATTCCTCCAATCATTTCGCAAATGACAATCTCTAGGGGGTATCTGGGAACTGCGGTGAAGACTAGGGCTAATAATTATTTGCTACACTTATAAAATTCAGCTGATGAAAATCCATTAACCTTCTGGTTGTGGTTCACTTGAGTTTTATACTTGAGGCTTTTTACTGGATAAGTGCTATATTAAAACATAAATTAAAACCATTAATCTTTAACTCTGTTCTACTAAAGAATCTCTAATCCTAGTTCTGTTTGGAATTACATAAAACCTTGACTTTTAGGACTTGGACATTTATCAGCACCTAAAACATTTTCGTAAGGCAGATGCCTGCCAAGGTGAAAAAATGCTTCTCAGCCTTTCTCGTGAAGGACTTGCCAAATTCCCCTGAAGGTACCGCCAGGGCCATGTTTCCTGGAGAGCACCCTACCTGCCACTCGAACCAGCATTCACAAGTTCTTAACTGCAGCATGCCTCTCAGCATCCAGGTTGGGTTGAACTAGAGATTTTAAGAGGGCCCAGAGACATGTTAGGCTCATTCTCGGAAATCCTGCGCTGCACTTGGTTTTGAGGAGTCAGGCACCAGCAGGCCAGGGGCGCTGGCTGAGCACCTCCCCCGGCAGGTAAGTGGGACTGCCTTCCTCCAGCAGGCTGCTTTGCTGTCTCCCACCTCCCTCCTTTCTTTTCTCTCCTCTGCCCTTTCCTCACCTCTCTCTCTTTCCATTCTCTTTTTTCTTCTCCTCTCCTTTCTCCCCTCCTGTTCTCCTCTCTTTCTTTCCACGTTCTCTCCTCTGCCTCCCTCCCAGGCAAGCTCAGTAATCACACAGGTGCCACCACTTACAAGTTGGTATGATAAAGTGCTGGGGAAAAGCAATGGATTGTTTAAGCCTAAAATCCGGTGGGAAATATTAGAGGCGGGGGAGGGGGGGGCAAGTGGGCACGAAAGTCTGCAGAAAGCCCCCAACACGGCCTCGAGGAACTTCCCAGAGCCCTTGGTACTGACATGCCACAGAAACTGTTTTAGCCGGCAAGGGATTTCAAATTCCTTTACAGATTTATTAGTGTAGCTGACAATATAATCACAACTCAAAGTGACAGGTCATCAACATTATTACTGGAAAGAAAAGAGGAAAGGAAAATCCTCTGATGTGCAGTTGGTTTAAATGAAGTATTATGGGGAAGAAGGGAAAAATAAAAGCAGAGGGAGTGCCTTTGTGGTGGCGGCTGTCAGAACGCAGGGGGAGAGGAGAGAGCCGCTCACTGAATTAAGAAATCGATCCCCGATAGAGAAGCGGCAAGTGCCCCGAGTTCATCATTGTAATCTATATGTTGGGGTTTCATTCCTTAATAGTACCTGACCCCTGTATTTACCTGAGAGAAGGGGGTGATCAGACCAGATCTGGGAGAATTTATGCCATCTATATGCACTAGGTGAGGAATCGCAAGGGTTAAAATGTCCAGCCTAGCTTAAAGCCAAGCCAGAGCGCAGAGGCATCTGCGAACCTCTTCCCACCCCCATCACGTCCTGGGTTCCCCCTCACTGGACACAATTCACATGCACTCCCAGCCCCATCCTGGAAATTGAGAGGGCACCACAGATTCATTTTACCTTAACCTGCACCAAGTAGTTTGGAGGCGAGACAGGAGGGGTCTGGAAAACAGCCTCTCCAAAGAGTAATCCCTCCTCTTTTCTTTAACCTCTGACACTAACAGAGCCCAGTCTTGAAAAGCAAGCGAGGCCCTGGAAGGTGCACCAGCATGGCCATTTCTTGTATACCACAGGGAAAACGTGTCTGCCTAATTCACATCATACTCTGAAGCCCAACTCTCTCAACGTGGCAAGTGTGGGTCTTATTATCCATGAAAAAGTAAAGTCTGAAACTAGATGCCAATCCTAAATAGTCATAGCCTCACCATCCACCTGTAAAGAGGAAACCGGCTGTAAAGAGACAGCTCTAGGTGTTCTCTGTTGCATTATTTTAGCTCTGCTACTCAGAAAACAGCAATGCCCAGTTAACTTTCTTAGACACAAAACAAGCGGAGCAGGGCCACTGAGCGCCACCCAGAATGGCTTCTCAAGCCCTTAACAAACGTCTTCTGCTCAAGGTTCACCCTGCGCCTCCCTGGGTGATGTCATGCACAGAACGTTATGGCTGAGCGATGCGATTGGCACAGCTGGGACCTGCCATGACCAGCGAGGTATACGAGCCTCATCCAAGTGCTACCTGACAATTGGTTTTTTTTTCGGCATGGAAAAGAGACTCTGCAACTCAACAGAGGTTTCTCCCTCCTCGCTTCTCACCCTTTGTGGTGAGATAAAACTCTCGAACGCTGCCAAGTCTGTAAGGCACTCACCCTTATGTTATCGTCTGTTTCCATGGTAGCCTGGAGTTTTCCATTCACGCTGAATGTACAGAAGAAGCCATTGTCGTAGAATATGACACAGTGGCCCTCTCTTGAAGCCTGAATGAGCTTTGGTTTCAGGCAGGTTTCAGGACCCTCCAAAGTCCTTAACAAGTCTCCATTCATGGAATGTATGAGACATGGTCCTTCTGAGAAACAAGAAACAAAAGGCGAAATTATTTTTTTTAATGGGAACAGAGAGGTGTGGTCTGAATCATGAGCACAGATCAAACAGGATTACAGTTGTAGGGAGCCTCAAAAATTATACATCGTAAGTAATTTTGCAGAATGTCTTCTGCGTGCTGGTCAGATCTTACCTTTCACTTGGAACAGGAGAAAGCTGAGTCATATGTTCAAGTTCACTTCAAGAGACAGGAAGTTACCTTATGAAATTCATTATTATACCAAGAGATAACTAAAAACTGGAGGAATTTACAGGAGGAATTTATAAAGGAACAGGACAAATTTCCAATCCTAGAAGAGCTTTCTGGAGGGCTGGCTGCCATCAGGCGCACTACGACCCTCTCCCCACATCTCACAGGGTCCCCGATGGTGGCTGCATCTGGGCCTGTGGGGCGATCTCACGAAGGCAGCCCTGAAGGCTGAAGCAGTCCTCCTCCTTGCTCGCTACTTGACATGAAAGGAGGTCCCTGGCGGTCCCCCTTCTCACCTCCCCACAGTGAGTTCACAGAGATCCTTCTCCACTTTTCCCTGATGCTCAGGTTGACATGCTTGAGGACGACAGGGGACTGCTGAACAGCCTGTACCTATCAGACCTTTTTCATTTGTAACAAGTGCCTGCTTCATGCAGAGCAAAGGAGGAGCTGGTAACCCAAACTGCTTGTGATGAGCAGGTTCTGAGAGGTGTGTGGGTCGGACAAGAGGCTAAATGGAGGATGTGCCTCTCCACTCCCCAGGCTGCACCACTCATGGCTACACGGAATTGTGACCTGTTCCCCACACGGCGACTACAGCACGCGTGCCCTTTTGAAACTAAGGCTCTCAGCTGTTTCTTGACCACTAGGGATTTGTAGGTTTTCAGTGTCCCCACATACACACAGGCAGTCTTTGTGACAGTTCCAGGACGCATGAATTTCAGTTTACTAGTCACCACACAGCGCACACCTCAGGGCCAGCTCTGCAGTCGCACACCACTATGTAACCAGCAGATGTGCATCGTGATAGGTGACCAACCACATCACCTTCAAAGTCGTCAGTGAGCGGTCACTGCATGCCCGTTGCTCAGCTCATGCACCGACAGCAAATTTAGTTGTGCTGCCTCCCTGTCTCCAGTGATAAACCCAGGTGACATTGTACAAAAAATGGACAAACAAAAGACGGTACTGGCCAAAAAGATGAAACTGCAATAAGGAAACGAAAAGTGGTAAAACTGAAAGTGACTTTGGAATCGAACATAAGTGAGGTTTTAGAAGAAAGAGCTGACTGTGGGAATGCTGACATTGCCGAGACAGGTAGAGGAAACTGGCGAAGGTGAACTTACATAAATTAGGAAACGGGTTTTAACAAAAGTGGTGGTATCCCAGGGGAAGGGATGCCAGCAAAACCCTTCACATTACAGGAACCCTAGGGGATACTGCATGACATTGAAAGCACAGAAGATAAAATGTTGAAAGCTGATCCAAAGGAGTAGGGGAACTGGTCAAGGCATAGAAAAGATTCTCGCTCCTTAAGTTATACAAAGAGAAGGCAGCAAGTGCTGTTCAAAGCACTATTGATAAGGTGTTTACAAAGAAAGAAAATACTTTCATTCTCAATGTTTCTAATGTTTTAAATTACAGTGTACTGAGTAAATGGGAGTTTTACTATTTTTTTCATGTCCGTGTGTGTGTAAAAGAATTTTTAATGTTTTGACAAAATATTTTTAAAGGCCATGGACCAATCATAAAATTGTCCATTGATTTTTAAAATCATTTTGCATGGTTTCAGCTTGCATGGTCATTTTTATGGTCCCATACCACCGGCAAAGCTAGGAAAGCCTGTAATACGAGAGGTTCACTTTACATGTCTAATTTGGATCACTTATAGTCCAAGAACTCAAGTTAGCTCAGGATGTATGAAATTACTGGGTATATGGAAGCAAAAATTCCAGTTCGTATAGAATTTCTGCTATCATTACTGCTCTTTCATTGTTTTGGCCAACTACATTTTTAAACACAACACTCTGAATGTTAATAAGTCCTGTTAGCTAGACTAAGTATTGTAGTTGGACACTCAGAGAAGGTGACTCAAATCTTGTAAGCTTCCCCATCAGAGAAATCTAAACACACGAGATGACAGTGTTCAGACCTCAGCTTAGGGCAGAGGCGGGAGATGGATAGATATTACAATGGCATAAGCCATGGAATGGAAACAGCTCTGTTCCTGGTCAGATCCTGACTTGCTGCGTGGGCTCCTGGAAAGCTTGCTTAGTGTCTTTGGCCTATAAATATGATGATGCTACTAGAACAGACCTGCATGCGGACCAGCTTAATTATCTTTCCACTCCATCCTTGGTGCCATCCTGGCTCGTGCCTGGTCCTGAGATTTGGACATTAAAACAGACTGGGTCAAGAGTTTCTGTTCAGGTGTGAGATGGACGGCAACCCAGCCAGAGTCCAGAAGAACAAATGTATATACAAAGATGTTCCCTGTTCCTTCCTCACTCTTTTGAGCAGTGATGGAAGAGTTCCATAACTGTGCTGTCCAATATGGTAGCCACTACGCACGTGCGAATACTGAGCCCCTGAAATGTGACGAGTGCCACCATGGAACTGAATTTGTAATTTTAGTTATTTGAGCTAAATAACCCCCTGTGGCTAATGGCTATCATAGCAGACAGCACCGCTTTTGAGAAAAAGGGAGCAAATTCATCTTGGGTAACCTCTTACTAGAGGATATCAAACAGCACACACATTTTATGAAAGTGCCACAGGTTTACCTTTGGATCCACTTAACACCAGGCCCAGCTCAGCACAGACTGCAGCACAAGTGATCTCATAGTCATGGCCTGTCAGAATGGCCCGCGGAGTGCTGGTCCCACCTTTAGGAAAAACCAGAAAAAGAGCAAATTAATTCAAGGTCATGTAGGGGATTACCTCCCCCTACTCTGCTTAAATAATCAACAACTTGTTCCTAATTCCCAGAATGCCTACATCTTTTATTTATAGTTTGGGAATGCGTCCAAAAATCCTATTTTAGGACTAGATCCAAACTATATGCTAGTCTGAGGACCACAAGTTGTTAAATTTCTAATCCTTACATGATTATCAAGCAGCAGTGGTTGAAACCTCAGAGTAAAATAAATCAGAAATGTGCATTATAGAATGCCTCAGATCCTTCCCAAATACAAATATAAGCCCCTTGATTAGATGATTTATGGATGCACGACTATACAAGTAGGGGCTTGCGCTCGATTCCCATTTCAAAGCGAGGCAGCTGCCTTCTCTGCTTCCCCTGCCCCGCCGGGGGCCTCTGAGACCCCTGTCATAGTGAAGACAGTCTGAAGTAGGCTGCATGGTATCTCAACGCAGCCCCTCTCTTAAGTATCTATTGTCTTTACTTTTCTTATGTATTTTCCTGGTATATAAATCTCAGAGAGTATATTTGTCTATGGTTCATTCAAAGAACAAAGGGGGGAAAAAAGAAACTCTTACATGTAGTTCTATTGAGAATGCTTGAAAATTAGGGGAGGAGGTACACAAGGACAGAGGAAGAACACCCAGATAATGGGAGCTGTTTCAGAGCATTTCCACAGGTAGAAGAAGTCATCCTGTATTTCAGTCCCAAACTGAAGAGAAAACTGGTTGGCTGATAAGGAATCCACGCCAGGGGTGGTGGCCCCAGCAGAGATAAGTAAAATAATAACGGGCTTGGTTTGTGGCTTGATTCATGCAGAACCACAAGGAGAAACGGAATTCCATATTTAGCATGAAGATTACTATTTTAAGACTAAACTAGTCCTCTGTTTTTATAGTCACTAAGGACAAAGACACAAAAAGCCTTTCTAAATGGGACTAGAGAGCAGGATTGAGTTAGCATTCCTAGGTTTCCTTGACCTGGAGTTTTATAGTATTACCGATACTGTGTAATCCAAATAGGGGCAAATGTGCCCAGAGAGGAGGTCCCTACCACCAGCTCTGGAACCCCAAGGAAAAGAAAAACTTGTTGCCCTAACCCCAGACACTGTGCTATCCTTGGAATAGTCACACACTCGGAGGAGGGAGACCTGGCAGGGAAAATCCAACAGAAACCTTGGAAAGACCCAAACATTTAACTCCAAAGCAGTGGTTTATGATGGGTCGATGGGTTCTCTGAAATGTCATGTGAAATGTATGTGTGTGTGCCTATGTTTTTCCGGGGTGATGGGGAGGGGAGGGCGCAGAGCTCTGGGACTGCAAACAGGAGGGGGGCCTCTGCTGTGAAGACGGGCCCAGTTGTCAGTGCTTTCGGCTGGCCTTGCCGGGAGCCTGCAGTTACCTCGCGTTGGGCCATTCTGCGTAATTATTACAAAGTGTTGCTGGAGTCCACAATGCACATCTGTGTCCCCACAGTGTCCTGCATGGCTCTTGGTGACTGTGGGTACTTCTGAATGAGACTTAGGGAAAGGGGCATTGTGTGGAACCCTGCACCTCACTGGCTATCCAGCTGCGGCCACACCCTGGAACTGGCAGCCATGCTTGGGGACAAAGGGAGACGGCAAAGGCCTAGGAAAAGGAGAAGGGATAAGGGGAACCTGCCTTAATTACAAAGCTTACTTGACATTTTCCAAACAAAAAATTTGTCACAAGAGCAACTTTTTTTTTTTCTTCCCTTAAAAAGTACAGAAATTTGGGGCAATTTCTAAGGAAAAAGTAAACATAATTTAAGTGGATCTGAACTACTTAATTTTCTGTTAGACATAAGCCTTGCCACAAAAATTAGAAATAGATGTTATACTTTTAAAAGTTACCAATACTTTAGCCCTAATTTGTAGTTTCGCCCTTTCCCAAGATACTCTACATTCCACAAAAATACCTACAATATTGGTTTTGAAATTTATGTCTAATTATATCTATCGACAACATTTTAAAAATCAAGAGCTAAAATCATGAAGCTCTAAGGCTTACATTCTTAGTGATTGTTCCTTTTCTGGTTTTGAAAGTGACCGCTTTACGGGAGGGTGAGATTTGTGTGTTAACTTGAATTATATTGGAATTCCTCAGTGGAAAATGGAAGGTTTGAAGGAACACTGATGGCAACTGAAGACCTCAGTGTGAGCCAACGCAAGCAGCGGTGGACGGACAACGGCAGACCCAGAGAACACTGTCACTCGAGCATGTCACTGCTAACCTTCTGTTTTCTAGATCTAAGAATATCTTCTCAGGAACACGGGGAGGAAATGAAAATGCTGCTGTCAACTGCATTTCTTTAATGTAAAAGAAATGAAATACTGAGAACTTTCTATGACTATGAAGTTAGACTGGGGGAGCTGCACGACTAACTCCATAAAGTGGGTTAACGTATAAGCATTCTTTTCTGTAAACTCACAATTAACATTGTTATAAATATGCTGTATTGCAAAATGCTAGTTTCCAATAATCCACACTGTACTAATCATTTTTCCCTCCACAAATAAGACACACACACACACACACACACACACACACACACACACACACGTAATTTCAAAAGTGGAACAAGATTTTTCTTTTCCTACTGCCTGATCTCTAAATAAAGAACCGTTCAATGCTAAAACTTTGGCTTCAAAGTTTGGCAAAACGTTCTTTAACCCAGGAAGCAGGTTAGACAGTTCAGG